AAATTCTAGCACAGAATTGGGAGTTTCTCTAATAAATGATAGCAATGAGTGTTGGCTGGATAAAGATTTGTCATCATGACCTAATAGGTGATAGCTAAGATCAAGGAAGAATATTACAAAGCATGAAGTATCATGGGTCTACAACCAACCTGTAATATCCTAATGTTTACACTACCATGAGAAAAGAATTATCAAATACCACACAAGATAATTCAGTTGACTGACCATTTGTGACATCTGTCAGGGCAGTTTCAGTGACCTGATAGAGCTTGTTGATCAATAAAGTATTATTATTTTTTGGTATCATTAATATACAATCACATGAGCAACATTGTAGTTACTAGACTCCCCCCATTATCAAGTCCCCATCACATACCCAATTATAGTCACTGTCCATCAGTGAAGTAAGATGCTATAGAGTCACTACTTGTCTTCTCTGTCCTATACTGCCTTCCCTGTGCCCCGCCCCTCCTACATTATATGTGCAAATCGTAATGCCCCTTAATCCTCTTAACCCACCCTTCCCACCCACTCTCCCCAGTCCTTTTCCCTTTCTCTTTGGTAAGTATTAGTACATTCTTGGGGGCTGTGAGTTTGCTGCTGTTGTGTTCCTTCAGTTTTTGCTTTGTTCTTATACTCCATAGATGAGTGAAATCATTTGGTACTTGTCCTTCCCTGCGTGGCTTATTTCACTGAGCATAATACCCTCTAGCTCCATCCATGTTGTTGCAAGTGGTAGGATTTGTTTTCTTCTTATGGCTGAATAATATTCCATTGTGTATAGGCACCACGTCTTCTTTATCCATTCATCTACTGATGGACACTTACGTTGCTTTCATTTCTTGGCTATTACGAATAGTGCTGCGATAAACATAGGGGTGCATCTGTCTTTTTCAAACTGGGCTCCTGCACTCTTAGGGTAAATTCCTAGGAGTGGAATTCCTGGGTCAAATGGTATTTCTATTTTGAGTTTTTTTGAGGAACCTCCGTACTGCTTTCCACAATGGTTGAACTAGTTTACATTCCCACCAGCAGTGTAGGAGGGTTCCCCTTTCTCCACATCCTTGGCAACATTTGTTGTCGTCTGCCTTTGGATGTTGGCCATCCTAACTGGTGTGAGGTGGTATCTCATTGCGGTTTTAATTTGAGTTTCTCTGATGATTAGTGTTGTGGAGTATCTTTTAATGTGCCTGTTGGCCATCTGAATTTCTTCTTTGGAGAACTGTCTCTTCAGATCCTGTGCCCATTTTTTAACTGGATTATTTTTTTGTTGAGGTACATGAGCTCTTTATATATTTTGGATGTCAATCCCTTATTGGATATGTCATTCATGAATATATTCTCCCATACTGTAGGATGCCTTTTTGTTCTGATGGTATCCTTTACTGTACAGAAGCTTTATAGTTTTATATAGTCACACTTGTTCATTTTTGCTTTTGTTTCCTTTGCCCAGGGAGATATGTTCATGAAGAAGTTGCTCATGTTTATATTTAAGAGTTTTGCCTGTTTTCTTCTATGAGTTTTGTGGTTTCATGACTTACATTCAGGTCTTTGATCCATTTCGAGTTTACTTTTGTGTATGGAGTTAGACAGTAATCCAGTTTCATTCTCTTACATGTATCTGTCCAGTTTTGCCAACACGAGCTGTTGAAGAGGCTGTGTCATTTCCCCATTGTATATCCATGGCTCCTTTATCACATATTACTTTGACCATATATGCTTGGTTTAATATCTGGGCTATTCTGCTCCACTGGTCTATGAGTCTGTTCTTGTGCCAGTACCAAATTTGTCTTGATTACTGTGGCTTTGTAGTGAACAGTAAGTTATGGTAACGTTGCTTATTGTATTAAACAAGTGGAAAGAAATAATACATCGACAGAGTATTAAACTATGATATAGACATACTATAAAATACTATATAGCAGTTAAGAGATGTGATCCATATATATATACTGATAGGGGAAAAGCTGAGACATAATGTTGACTGAATATTCTGAACAGTAGATAAAAGAGAACTTTTTTTGAAACCCCTGTGTAATATAGTATTACATTTCTAAGAGTGCATTCTTAGAAAAAGAGCGTAAGTCTACACAGCAGCCTGATTTTTCAGTGAACGAAAGAGTAGGTGTCCCTGGGGACTGGGTGAGGACAAGAAGTCTAAGTGTAAATTCTGTATGAATTGTTTTGGGTAGTACAAATTTGTGTTTAAACTATCATGTACACTTCAAAAAAAATTTTTGGTGTATAAAATACTGTGTGTTATGAATTATATATATATATGACAAATGTACAAAATTAGTGCATGCTGTATGGTAATGTATATTGTGCTATGGATAAGGTATATTACACATTGTGTAATATATACAAATATTTATAAAATTAATGTATACATCTAACAAGTTTAAGGAATACTGAAGTAAATGGGAGACTAGAGATAACAAATGCAGAACAGATTTTTAAAGATGCAAGAGGGTAAAAGAGAAGTCAAAAGAAAGCTTCCTTAAGATGGTTAAGATTTGTAAAGAACATTGATTTTATTTAAAACCTCAGAAAAGTTTATTTCAAAATGAGTATTATGAGCAAATTATATCTACGAGTTGCTTTAAAACAATGTGGGGGATGGGAAATGAACAAGGGTGTAGATCAAATGAGACTGGCCATGTGTAGTGGGGTGTATGTAGTGGGGTGATGGTCATGTGAGGATTCGCTATGCTCTTCTACTTTTCCCATGTTTGAAATTCTTATAAATGCATGTGAATGTGCTCAGTATGCTTTCCGTAAGTAAACATGGACATGAGGCAGTACATGAAAATAAAATTTGTAAGCAACAAATCAACCAGCAAACTACATGGTGACTGACTATGGGTCTTTGGAGAAACAATGCTGAAGGCACTGTCAGAGATCCTGTCTGTCTAGCACTCTGGCAGTGTTGTTCTTAATCGGGGTTTCTTATGTGAACCACAAAATGTAGAAAATAATTTGCCTTTTTCTCAGTTTTCCCAAGGATATTGTTGAGTGGTACATTTTAGATCTGCCTACAATTGATGCCTTAGGGAACTAAGCCTTCTCTTGTGAAGTTACAGTTGAGAATGGCAGATTGAGTGACACTAGACTGGAGGAAGAGCATATGTAAAATCAGGCTACTTTTTCAAAAAGTAAAATGGAGATGTACAGCTTGATTAAATATGGCATAGCAATGTGATGCTTTATAACTATTGTAAAAAAATAATTTGTGAACTCTGTGGAAAAGTATCCATCAAAATCACCTCTGGAGCTTGTTCAAAAAACAGGAAATACTCTGCCTTCATGAAAGGTATTCATCACTGTCTTCCAGCTGACAGGTGAAACTGGAAATATGTATAATTTAGTAATTTTTCTTTATAGATGTTCAAAGTCAAGGTAAACTCCTTACTTAAGGATCTTTGACTTAACAATGAACTGTGTATATTAGCATTTTTAGGTTTTTATTTTCTTCCCCACTCTAGAGGCTGAGAGAAATTAACAGTATGATACGGACAGGAGAGACTCCAACCAAAAAGAGAGGGATCCTTTTGGAAGATGGAAGTGAATCACCTGCAAAAAGAATTTGCCCAGAAAATCATTCTGCCTTGCTACGCCGTCTTCAAGATGTAGCTAATGACCGAGGTTCCCACTGAGGTTAGTCTGTTGTACTGAAAACTGTCTTTTCACAAACTGTTTAGCAGCATCTTTTAATGCATGCTAAATTATGGGGCTCTTTTCCTTAATCCTTCCAGTATCTTTAGGGTATTTTCACTCATCCCAACTGTCTTTTTTCCTACCATTCAGTGCTTGTCATGAAGGCTGCTTAGACTCCAAACTCGGATTTTTTAACTCTGACAAAAGCTTTTGTAAGTATTGCAGAGAACAAAGCATGGTCAAATATGTGTATAAGAGATTGACATGCTACAGCAGAGGAACTGTACTTCAATTCATTCCTAGCCATTTATTCATTGGGTCTGGCCCTCATGAAAAGCAAAGCAAAAACTAGGTTTGTTGTCTTAAAACATTTGGTAGGAGTGTGAGATTTTTGCATTCCTAAAACATAACAAGGAAGAGAGCCCAAACACAGAGGTCCTAGGTTATCAGCTCAAGTCTTCCATTCCTTTTGTGTAATTTTTCCCTTTCTCCATTAGGTGTGGTACAGTGTGATAAATGCTTGATTATTCAGTGTGCAATGTGTGAGTGAACTTGTATAAGAAGTGGCACTTTAGGGCTGTAAAAAGCATGATTTGTAACCCAGATTTTGCTGTATATTTGTGATGGCACTTTCTACAATGTGAACTTTATTAAGTACAAAATTTCTAGGCTAAATATTCAGTATCTTCTTTGATACTTTTGTACTTCTTTTTTTTTTAGACTGTTAAAGCCCCAGTAGCTACCTTTTGGGCATGCATTTTAAGTTCTCCAGTTTTTGTTAATAGGGATCAACTTGGCTAAGTAAAGACTTTAAATCAAGTTGAATTAAGGGGAATAATATGAAAAATAATGACCTCTTCAGGAGGTACTGAAAAGACGTGTATATTAAGGTGATATATAAAAATATTTGGGTGTGTTGCTGACGGTTTTAAAAAATAGGTTGGAGAATTTAGGTTTTTATTAGCACATACTACCATTTATACAAATTAGAAAATGTTATTTAACAGCTACTGAATTATCCATATATACTTTTATTAATCACTATTGTTCCAGCAGTTTTAAAGTTGAATGAATAATCTTATTAGGGAGAAAATTCAATTGTAAATTGAATCAATATAAACAAAGTTACTAGGTAACTTCATATTGCTCTGAAATATGGAACTTACACTGTTCAATTAGAATAGTGTTCTTCAAAAATATTTATAAAACCTCTCAAGATACTTAGTGCTACTGTAATTTTGTATGAAAATAAGTATTTTTCAATAAAGCATTTATAAATTAATCTTTTTGTTTAGTTATATCGAGAAAAGGGTGTGTAGTCCCCTGCATAAATGACAAAGAACGATCATTTATCGATTTATTTTATCTCTACAAAACACATTAGTCATTCATTTAAATATCTGACTTCATTAGAAACCGTTTTCACACTTTCTTCCTCCTGCCATAAAAATACAGTAATTTGCTTAAAAAAAAAAAAAAGCTCTGAATAAGTGTTCTGGTTTCCTCTCACTCACCTAATATGTGCCTCAGCAATAGCAGTTTGTAAATCATTAAGACAGCAGGCTGAAGACTGAGGCTCAAAGGATCTTCACTTGGAAGTGCCAGTATGCTCTGGAACCTGCTTGCTCTCTCCTCTCTTCTCCATGTGCTGACATATGTACAACTGCAACCACTGACTTAAAAATCATCAGATAGTGTTGAACTCTTGTCTATTCTATTAGTTAAGTGAATAACTTACCTTTAGCATTATATTCAGAAAAATACTTAAGCCTTAAGGTCCCCAAAAATTTGGAGTGCTGAACTAGACAACCACCCTAAAGACACTTCTGACAGAAGTAATGCCTTACTTAAAGAGAGGTTTCCCAAACTCGCCGTTAGGACCTAAGCATACACAGACAACACTGATGCCAGTCGCTGTGCACACAGTTTACTCTTCAGGCAGTCCTCTGCCTTGGTCAGCTTTAATGAGGCCCGCGTCCGGCAGGAAAGTGCGTGGTGCACCAGATTCACCCACTCTTAAGTTGCTACTGTTTTCTCTTCTTTACTGAAAGGTTGTACTGAGCCAGGCTTTACCCATGACAGGCCAGCAACATGAACACTTTTATTGTGCTGTTCTTCAGGCTTCTTCTAGGCACAATCAAAAACACATTAAAAAAGTGAGTGATAGAGAATTCAGCAGTGTACAAACTCATCTCCCAATGACATTTTAGAAAGGAAACAGTGAGTTAATTATTTCAAAAAATGGTTATCTACTTACTTTCTGAGTCAGCATCTTCTCTCTGGCTTCATCATGTACAGAAGGATTCCATGGAGAGAAACTTAAAAGAGAAAAATATTAAAAACTGCTTTGGCTTACTAAATTTGCATAACATCCATTTAATACTTAAGCCAGTTGCCCTAACAAAACAAGGAACAATACTTTTAAAGAGGAGTCTTTAATCAGTTGAAAATAAGTACAATTTAGATGTTATCTAAATGATTTTCTCTTATGACAGCTATCCCTTTGAGAGCACTTTCCATGGGCTAACTCATTTCAGCCTCATGACAAACTCTGTAGTAGTATTAAAGATAAAGAAAGTGAGGCACAGTAAAATTAAGTAATTCCTGTAGTTCTCCAAAGCCAGTAAGTGCAGAAGCCAAACTAGTCTTCCTGCAAAGCCCAAGCTCTTAACTACTATGCTTCACTACCTCCCCAGCAATCCCAGCATCGCCAAGAGCTAAATCACCAGTTCCTTATTTCTCAGTACTCCACAAACTCTTCCCAATATCAAATATCATAGTCCTACAGAAACCCACTTGTCACTTTCACACTATTCCACTTTCCTCTTTTCACCAATGTCAGTAGGGGTATAGCAGTTTCAGAGGGGCTCCAATTAAAACTGCCAACTGAAAAGTCCTGACATTACAGGATCCTTAAACCAAATTCAGTAAATAGTGTGAATTGGCATAATGTGCCAGTTGATGTAAAGGTTTATTGTTGTAAAGAGCCCAAGAGTATCAGGCATCAAATTGACAAGTTGAAAAGGTGTTGTAAACTAACAGATTTTACCCTTTGCTTTGAAATCTTTATTCTAAGACCACTTGACTGCAAAGTTCAGGTCATCTAGACAATGCAACACTTACCTAATTGCATAGGGGTCTTCTATTTTAGGCTGGTCAAACAAATGAGCCGTGCACACCTTAACACTGTCAACCACTTTACTTTTAAAAAGCTGAATATCTTTTTCATACCTGTGTTAAAAGTTAAAATAAAGTTACCAATACAACCTACTCAGCTGCACTTTCAAATCTCTGAAGTAACAAAGCAAAGTAACATACAGCACAGCGGCCTCTGGGTTGAGGGGGCTTGTGGTGTCAATCTTGTAGAAAACTCTCCTGGCATACATTAATACTTGCCAAATATGATTATGGTTCCGCCTAAAGGGAAACATGGCATGATTACTGAGGTTCTTCTTGCTGACTTACATCATCAAAGTAAACACAATATTTACTAACCTCCATTTTGCAAATGCTCTCTTCACATCTAGTTCACCTGAGGTGGGGTCAACGAGCGGGTGAAAGACGGGAATATCAAACACCAAGCGCTGTATTTAAAGAGACACATTTCCTTTACTGGAAGCAATGGAGCTTATCAGACCTGTACACCCAATGTAAAAGGAGCTTTAGGACAAGGCAGTCACATTGTTTAAAGTCCAAAGAGCTGCCTCGAGAGGGACATTTAACTACACCACTTTCCTCTGAAACTAAAATTTGCAATGAAGGGGGTGAAAAGTCACTCTCTCTACTACACCACAATGATCACAATGACTGCTGTTCCCCATAGTTAAGTGCTGTATAATTAAATTCCAGCCTCCCCTGCACACCTGAGCAGAGAACCAAAGCTAAAGGCAGAGGCTGGCATGGCAAAAGATACAACCCAGCACAGAAACCCCTCTGAAAGACTACTAAATAGACAAAACATTATAGGAAACTGAAATCATAAAAGTATTAGGTCAAGAAGAGAACCAAGAAATCTTTAAAGCCCTTTAAGTCCTTCTCCTTGACCAACAAATGAAGCCAGACTCTACTTACTGGACAATCACCATCTGGGTAGTTATCAGGGATATAAACTGTAAATTTAAATACACCATCTTGATAAAGTCCATGCCGTATGAATATTACTCCAAACCACACTGCAGGAAAAAATACAGTTAAAGGCTTATTTTTGTGTCAAAGGGACCAAATATGCTATAAATTAAATTATTTGCCTTACTTAATGCAGAGCGGTAAGATGGCTGCACATAGACACCTGGTAACTTCTGCTTCACAACCAAGGTACTAAAACAGAAGCAGCAGAATAATGAAATTGTATGGATGTAAGTGACACACATGGATCAAACCACTCCACATTCAGTTTCTGAGAGAAGAAATAATCCCTCAAGGGGCAGCTGATGGCCTAATCATAGCTGAGTCATCACAATCTCTCACCTGGCCCTAATCATGGCCCATCTACTGGCTTTACAACAGGAGCTTACAGAAACACAGAAGCCAAAAAGGGCCTCAGATTGAGAAATCAAAGCCAAACAGGGACACACAAAGCATCAAGTTTCCCTCCTTTATCAGCTTCCCCAAAATATCTTGAAAACCAACTTGTAAGTAAGTCTGAATAATGCAACCTGATTTAAGTTCTAGACATTAAATTTTAGGTAAATGGGAGTATTCGTAAAATTACTGCTTTTGTGACTATAAACAACAGATCTTACCCACACACATTCAAAAATTAATTTTAAACACAATTTTTGGTAATTAAGAACAAATTACAATTCCATGTTACTGCCAACTTAGGTGACATTTTACATTTGGTCTCAGTCCACGTAGCAGAGGGCCATGTTTAGATTTGCAGTGTTCTTGGTGAAAGCAGGCATCAGCGTGAGCCCACACTGTACTGTAATTTCACCCCATAATTCAGACACTTGAACTCTGTGGGCCGTGGTTGGGAACCGGTGGGTGCTGAAACAAGGTAAGGCAAGGGCACTGACAAAGGCTGCTCCTGCTCTTCTGGGACCCAGTCACCCACTGACAGCCATTCTGCTTGTTCTTTGCAGCTGAGCAATGAGCCTAAATAAGTAAAGCTGTGACCGAACCTGGAACAATGCTGACCTGGGGCCTTAAAACACATTAATCTGCCAATCCAGAATTTTATTAAGTAGTAGCTTTGTGGACCTTAGTTGATTGCTTTCAGTACCTACTTGGCTATCCTTATTTTTAATCATTTTAAAGTAGTTATTCCATTTTTAAGTCACTAAAATTCAGTACGTCAATAGCACCATGGTTGGTAGATGTATCTACTACAGTGAGGTTTGCCAGAAAGGCAATTTTGTGTTCTAATACAAACAGCAGATTTAAGCCTGTCCAACTCACTGCCCAGCCTCAAACACAAGGCCTCCATTATAAAGCTAAAGGGACCACTGCTACCAAAGCGCTCAGCCAGTCACTGACTATTACATTAGTACAGTGAGGGATGGCCTAAGGATGCTTTTAAAATAACTTCACATACAAAGAATTTTTAAATGATTGCAATTAAGAATTCTCCAAACTTTCTGTCTTTGTAACAAATTATCAAATCAAATGCCCAGTGTGTATTCATTCACTATCTGAGCCCCCTACACTGGGCTAAGCACTGTGTTGTCACTCCTGGCACTCTGCAGAAGTGTACTCATCTCCTCACACTCTATTGATAGAAGTCCAATTATTGACTTCTGTGACCAGTCAAGTTCTTTCTTACATGGAGCACAAATTGTTACAACTTCTCTATAATTGCCTGGTTCTGCCTTTGGGGGTCATACAGAGTAAGTCAAATTCCCTAATGACAGACCTTCCAATATATGAATACAGCTTTTATAAGTACTTCCTGAATTTTCTCCAAATTAGCTGTTCCAGTTCCTTCAACTGTTGACTCCTAAGGTCTGGCTTCCTAGCCTCCACCTATTGGGACCATCTCAGTCTGTCAGGATGCCTCTTACAAGGTGACCACTAGAATGGAGCATAAGCCTCCAAGCTGGGTCTGACCCAAGAGAGAAAACACTGCTACCCTTCCACTGTACTGCCTTTTACAACAACCTCTTCAGGGGGTGAATTCCTCACCTCATATAATGGAAGACCAAAATCAAGTTACAAGTTTCTGACCTACCAAAGGTGCTAAATAAATTGTAGTTTATTCCTCCTCTTGTTCTCCAAAACAGGTAGGGAAATCAAAGTGCACACTTGCCTTTAAATCTCATTTACCAAGCTCTGAATAAGAGTCATTACTTTTAGGACAAGATATTTATATAATACTACATGGGCCTTGGCTAAAAATGATTGTATCACCAGCAATATCCTCTATCATTCAATACACATTAAGGCTGGTATGGGCTTTAAGATTAAATGGCTGCCATTTACTGAGTCCATCAGCATTTCATTCTTTACCTTCAAGAATCATTTTAAATTTAGCCAAATAGTTTGCTAAGAACTTACAATTCTGCAAGAAGAGAGTATTCCAGGTAGAAGGGTCCATAAGAAGCATGTGTACCATTTGTTGACTGTGCTGCTGGGGCAGGAGATGTAGGCTTAGTTATGGGCAAAGCATTTTTGGGAATAGAAGGCAGCTGTTTCTTTGGAGCAGATCGTGGAGGACTGGTTATCACATCCCCTGTTAATGTCTTCTCTTCACCATCAGATCGCTATTCAAGACGAAGTGGTGAGAACATTTGTTAGGGTGAATCTTAGATCAGAGAGTGCATGTGATACACTTAGTCCTTGACCTAAAAGCTGTAATTGCTTTTACAAGAACATTCAAGCATCATGAACAAGATGACCTGAAAGTCCTTTGAACAGGCAGGCAGAACAAAGCTGAAGCAAGACTAAAGCATAAGAAAACTCTAACTCGCTGCATCCTGTAAAGATAACAAAACCAGTATTTACAGGATTTACATGAAACAAAGAAAGAAATGGGTTTCTCCTGGAGGCCCTGAAAAGAGGGCAAGGAGTTACTAGGCAACTGGACAACTATATGTAAGACTAGAAAAGTCCCCTGGCATTCAGATGCTATAGAAGGTCAAAATAAATAGTACAGATAACTGGAATCAGTCACTACCTGTTAGCAGTTCAGCTGGAAACAAAGAATAAAGCTATTCATTCTCTTTGCATGGGTCTGATTATGATCTTATCTCTAATGGATATGTTTCCACATGTGGACTATCAACAGCATAAACTGTCATCCTTAGTTAATGACAAAGGTCTAAATGAGTCAGAGACTAAACTACCATCTCATAGGTACTTGTTTGGCTCAACTATGGTCAACAGCTATTTAATTAGCTATTAAAAATGCATATCATGTGTAGAAAAAATGATTAATAGTGTTCTCTTAGAGGTTGAATTATAGGTTATATTCATTATGTTTGTCTACATATTTTAAACTTTCCAAAAATATATTATTTTTGCAATTAAAAAAGACTTTATTTAAAAAAATTGAGCCTGTGCCCTCAAGCATTAGGCTGGCCTTTCCCAAGGCTCCTCTAACCACAGACTCTTGTAGGTTAGTAGGAAACCTACTACAGTAATGTGTCACAAATTTCATCAGGTGTAAATATAATCTAAACCAAAATAATCTTAGAACTATGATTACCAGAACGATTTCTATTTGAGATGAGATATTAGCCTCAGAAATAATTATTTCTCAAAAATAAAAATCAGGTAATTCTGTTAAGATTATAGGAAACCTCGGTATGAAATATTTTGGCCTCTGACTCATACGGATTTCCTCACTAAATTTATCAATTATACCTACTTTGCGTACAGAGCTTGTAGACATGCTCCAGAAAGGGTTCATAACGTGTACTCCAAACAAATTCAGTGGTCTGTGTCATCAAACTCGTTCTCAGAATTCACTTTACCTTAAATGAAATGGGAAAACAAACATACCAATGTCAACAGTTAAGACTTCTGAAATGGTTACAAACTAAACCGACACTAAATAGAACTACAATATACGTATGTAATAGTTATAAAAATCTAGGGGAAAAAATGTCTTCATAAATAGTTTCCTTCAGTACCCCCTCCCTCTTCTGACTCCAATTTCTATCCCACCTTTAAATGCCTACAGGAATCTGTGTACCAAGTCCTTGGCCAGGATTCAAAATATTCAATGACAACAGTTCAGCTTTGGTGCCAGAAATGCAGAAGATATGGATGGACTACAACAGTTGCTATTAACATAATATCTAGACATTTGACTACTGGGAAAGCCAGGTTCAGAATACACTGTACTCACATATACAAAAGTTCTATCACTGTTATCGGGGCCATGGGAATTAAAGATCCAAGGGGGCTGATTTCAGAGTGTCTTAACTGAGCTGTCCCAAGTACAAAATCATTCTCTCCAGTGAAACTAGTTGCCAAAGAAGTAACAACAACAAAACAGGTACAGCAAAGCATTTAAGACAGAAAGGGATAATTGTGTACTGTCAGAATCATCCCCAAGGAACCTTTTCAACTACTTAAAAGTGTGGAAACCTCAGGATTAGGCATTTAAGGCAATGCCAAGCAATACATACAAAATGCAGTGGAGAACTGCAAAGGAGACATTTCACAAAACACAAATCTTCCACCGATGCATCACTAGTGGATAAGAAAGCATGTCGCAAAAGTGACAAGAAGTCACAAAGTCAGTGGGTCATTTACTAAAAATACAAAGAGCCAAAGGAAAAGGAGCAAGCACAGCTGTAAGAAGAGCAACCTCTCTGCTTGGGACTACCCTAGGCTTGGTTGTTACAGCAGTACTCCTTCTCTGAACTACTTACATTAATCAAAAGACTGAAGTTGAAAAGGGTCAAAACTTAGCAACATTTTACTGAATTCCTAAGAAGCAAATCATTACAGAATAATGTACCAAATGTCCCTGATCAGCAAAAATTAATTTTCTTATGAGGCTATCCACAGGTAGTAGGCACCAGGTTTCCCATTCCCAGCTGGTGCCAATTACTGCTGTTTTGCTTTACAAGACATAATGCCACCTAGTAATTACACCACAGGAATGAGGATCCTGGTTTTTCCACTTACCTGTTGAGTACATCCAATAAACAAAAACTTATTGTTGAGAGCTCTCTGCAATCTGCCTTTAAAGATGACTATGACACAGATGAAAGTGGTTGGGACATCAAAAATGTGTGGGGGCACATTTCTGTTTGGCCCAAATGCAAACAGTTGGTTTCAGATCCAGAGTAACATGCAGCACCCCACTGTCATCTAGGACAGACCTGATCCAACAGGGAACCCCCTTCCCTTAGGGCAAGTACTCATCACCATGTAAATTTACTGGGGTGGATCTGTCACCTGTAAGATCCCTTCTCCAAGGCTAACACATAATGGTTCTGACTTTGCCTTTAAGAACAAAACTTGCTCCCAATTTCTCCTTATCTTTAAGCATGAGTTATTGTCCCTGGCAGCCTATGTTTCCAGCAGCAACCCAGAGAATTGTAGCACATTTCTCAGGAATAACTACTCCAATTAATTAGATGTCTGGTCTACCCAGGCACAGTATAGCATTTAACAAACAGTAGTGATAAAGATACGAAAGCGACATAGGACATGTCCTAGTCACTAGGAAACAATTTCCGAATTCCTGCTGGTTTGGCCATATACACAACACGATTGCCTCCCTTTATATCACACAGCTGATAAGTCAGTATCTTGGACTACTAACGATCTGTACAGGCCTGAGCCACAACCTGGGAGTCAGGTGCTTCTTTCCTCCTATGTGCCATAGTCCCTAAACAGGTACTAACTTAATACATCACGCCAACCAGCCTTAAATTCCACGTTAAGAGGCTACGTGGTAGGGTCTAAGAAAATACGAAGGCAGCTTTGGCCCTGGCCCCAGCTCACTGGGACAGCCAGGACCAGCACACTCGCCCAGGGCGGCAAGTCATCTCCGCGCACGTAGAGAATCTGGACAAACCTGTCTCGAGGTGATGCAAGGCAGGGGCCATGTCCCGACCTCGCAGCTAGCTGAAGGCTGGCCCCTGGCCCTCGAGCCCCTCCGGTGGGGGCTGAGAGCCTCCGCGGCTCGGGGACTCACACCCGCAGCCCCCAACCAGGGCGCGGGGACGAAGCCGGGAGGGCGGGCCCCGGCCGGACGGGTTGGTCAGGCCCGCCTCCCTCCCTCAGGCCGGCCTGGCCGGCCCACCCCGGCCCAGCTCAGAACACCAGCCAACAACTGGCCTGGAGCCCAGCAGCAGCCCGCGCAGCAGGTGCCTGCAAACGCGGACAGGTGCCCGGCCGCGCCCTCGTGTCCCAGCGCGGCCGCCGTTGCTACGGAGTCTAGGGAGCCCGGTAGGGCAAATGCCGGACCCGAGGACGCCGGCGGCCTAGTTTAAGGACTCCACTGCCCTCTCGAACCTACCAGTCAGCCTATCCGTGCATCTCACCTCGATGTTTTCAACACAAGGCTCCTGGCTGCTGACGGCCACGGCGGCCTCGGAGCATCTCCGGCCGCGGAGCCTGCCCGGCCCAGGCCTGCTCCCCTCCCCGCCCCGCCCTGATCTCGGCGTCGGGCTCCGCCCCCTGTCCCACGCCCCTGGGCCTATGCTTCCCCCAGCCTCTCAGCGCCAAGTGGTTTCCACACCTGTCCGTCAAGTACGTTCTTCCGAGAGCGTTTTGACAGCAGCACTCGGTCCTACCAATCAAATCAGCTCCGCTCGGAGGGAGCGGGGGGCAGCACTTGACCCTCCTCCTACGTAACAGCGGCCAGAGGGAACCATCAGTCACGGAAGTATTTCCCCTGGGGAGGGGCAACAAACAAGCGCCTGGACGTAATTGGTCGCGGCATCCGCCTGTCACCATAAAGACCCGCCCACATCCTTGTTCACCATTACTGGGAAGCGGTGACCGCAGGTTTTCCTAGGCTGGGCAGTGGCGGGCCCTGCTGGGGTGCCCTTGAGAGAGCAGTTGGGGTCGGTGCGGCCGACTGCGTGGCCACCCGGGCACGGTCACCGGCCCAAGCGGGGGTGAGAAGCCGAGACCATCACCTCTGTGGCCGGAATGATAGGGAGCTTGGAGGAACCTGGGAGAGCGCTTTATGTAGCATTGAGGACCGCCCGTTTTGTGTGTCAGTGAGGGAGCTAGTGGATACAGATGGTGGGAGCTAAACTCCCAAGTCATCCTTTGGCAGTAGCGCTACCAGAGGGGCCTTTAAAAGATGTGCGTGTCGCACCCAGCCTATAGAATCCGAATCCGGGGGGCGGTGAGTACCAGGAATAAACATTGTGCACAGAATCGTAAGTGCCTCTGGTGATTCTGGTGTACCCTGAAATTTGAGAACCTGTTCCATGGCAACATAGTTCCTAGCCCTCCGATTGTTTATGTTTATTCATTTTTACCTCACAAACGCTCACCTAGATCTGGAACACCTTTCTTTACCAGGCCTATAACCCTTTACTCTCAAAAGCTTTCCACGGCGGCCATTTCATACTAAATACAATCAAAACGCAGCCTGACTTACAAGGCACGTTTTGGCCTTATTCCTATATTCCCATCTCATTTCCCTTGTCTGTCTCCACCTTAATTCTGTGACGGCTGCCCTTGGCTTTCACACTTCCAAGCCTCTTAGTAGGATGATGCCTACTCTTGAGATGCCCTTCCAATCTCTACCTACCTCGGTATCCTACACTCAGAAGAGGAGAAAGATTCTCTAATCAGTTCCTTCGTTCACTTTGTGGTTGCCTTTGAAATGCTGGTAAAATGACCCTCTTGTTAAATGGCAGGCAGCCAAACTCTGCTAATGTTAATCCCAAGGGTTGGTTATGAAATCCAGCTTCCTCCCCTAGCTGAAAACACCCCTCAGCCATTTCCTTTTGTCCAATTTGAATGCACTTAGTAATGTTCTAACACCCTGAATATTAGTCTCAATCAGTAGAGAAAGGAAGGCAAGCAGGAAATCCATTCTTCTAGCCACAGGTGATGGCTCTTGGCACCTCTCTGCCTCAATCCCTACCAACCTTCTTTGCAAGCTCATTATCCTTTCCCACGGTTTTTTTCTGATCTCTCCTTCTACACTCTCCTTGGCAATCTCATTCTCCACGCTTCACCGGAGTCTCACACGTTTCTCCAGCTCAGACTTCTCCATGGTGTTTCAGATGCGTGGATCTAACTGCCTACCTGGCACTGGATACCTCAGGCACAGATCAGTTAAAATCCTTACCCCTGCACATGACAAAAACCCCAACTCAAATTGACTTACATAACAAGGGAATTTCTCTCACATGGTAGGGCAGGCTTGAGGGGTGGCACTCTTTCCCTGGAATTGCACTTTTCAGGCTGGTAGCAAGGCTCAGGCACACCCAGATGTGACAATGTCTAGCAAAAAAAAAAAGATACTTTCCCTCTAATAGTCTCTTTTGAGGAACAAGAATACCTTTCCCAGAAGCTCCCAGAAGCAATGACCAGAAATGAGTCACTGGGTCTCTGTCAATCAAGGGCAAGTAAAATGAGTCTGTCATAAGGAGCTAGGGCCAATCTAGATTTACCCTGGGTCACTGGACTTTAGGCAGAGGAATGACATAATCAGATTTGTGGTTTGAAAAGCCCGCTTTGTATGACTACAAGAGGAGCACTTGGGAAACCACTGCGGTAATTCAGCTAGAGACAAGTGCATGAATTTGATGGTGGAAATGAGTTCCAGAGATATCCAGGAGGTGGGATGGACAGGACTTGGTTGTGGATTAGAAATGGGGGGTAGAGGGAAAATGATGAGGGAGGCGCGTCATAAACAATGGCTGGATTTTTGGTTTCAGCTGCTGGGTGAGTGGTGAGGCCATTCACTTGGATAAGAAACCATAACCCATACTGTTCATGGGAGGATTTGGGGGTACTGTTTGGAGCGCTTCTGTAAGTCCAGTTGCAGCGTTCCTGAGACCCATTTCCCCCTTCACCACTGGCAGAGCTTTGATTTTTGTTGAGTCTAAGCCTTCAGTGGTTCCCCATTTCTCTTTTATCTCCCCACGCACTAATCTCAGCTCAAACACCACTTCTTCAAGGCGATTTTCCATTTATTGACCTGTATGACTAGTAAGTCATCTCCCATACTATACCGTAAGCTCCAGGAGGCAGGAACCAGTTTGCTTCGGTCCTCATGGTCTCCCCACCACTAGTCCAATGCCGGAATGTAGTGGAAGACAGTAAATATTTGACAGCTGAAGGACAAAAGTAAAATATATTTAAAGCTTCTACCAACCTGCTTGCGCCCAGCACTGAGCTAAGAAAGTAGCTCACTATGAAAATGAGGATGATTTATATAAAGGGAAATGAGGCAGCTTTGACATACCATTTCTTAAAGACTAAAATATGAAGTACTGAGAAAAAACCAACAGCCTGAACCTTACTTATAAAACATTTTCAGTCACCTCATATTATATTCATTATTCTAAATTTTGGGAGCATATCTGATATTTGTGTCAAAAGATTAATTCTTCTTGCATCAGGACTTAATAGCTATGTGATTGATCTCTACAAGTATTTAGGGCTCCTGCTCATGTTCTTATCAGCAAAATATTTACTGAATCATTCTTCTTTTGGTCTCTAGGAAATTAATTGTACAAAGCAGTTTAGATCACTGATACACTACTAAAGGAAGGGGCAGAATGATGAAGGTTAGCTGACATGTACAGTTTGATGTGCACGCATACACTCCAGCAAATATTTTTAGCTCAATCTGTGCCACTAGATCCTCTTCTGAAAGGTAGATTCCTGTATAGTGTCATACATGTGTCACTGATTACACATACTGTTCAAGATACATGAGATGATTTTATAGCCATGCATTTATTTTACTACATCAGAAAAAAATATATAATTAACATATCAAAACTGACTTATGGATAGTAACGTTTAGTATGAGACCTCAACAGGTGTTTCAGTTTTTTTTTTTTTTTGAGTGAATTGATGTAAGGGAGGATATAAAGTAAGTAATCCTATAGGTAATAATGAACCTTGGGTATGGCAGAAATCATGAGTTTTTGACAAATACCGAAATGTGTGAAAAACTGCTATAGAGGGATGATGTGGCTTTTGTCCTTTCTATGTCCTCATTGATCGTTACAATTCCAGCTTATCGCAGATGTGCTTCCAGTTTGGGGCCACACCACATTTTCTTCCTGGCCCTATTCCCCATAACTTCTTTCCCTTAAGCTAGTGAATGGATCGAGGGTTGGGTGGGTGATTGGGTAGATAGATAAAGGGATGAATTTTAAGACTACCACATTTCAAATCTAAATCAGAGTAGCTAATGGACCACTGAATATTTATGCCTTAAGGAAAGCCAGCCAATACACAATGTTGTAGCTCATAGAGGGCCAGAAAACATTTCCTTTTATACTTAAACAAGGTTTGAACATGGCATGACTCTACAAATAACCACTCACCTCTTTAGCACTCTGCTAACTATACCACCAGCTGCAAGAGCAATCTTGTCTTTGGTGTTAACTGCAAAACCACATCTCTCTGTGGTTTTAAAGTATTTGGAAAGATAAGGCTTGAGGTTAGTTTTAGCTAGAATGTCAGATTCAGAAAAAAAATCGCCAAAAAGAGAAAAAAATATTCATCCATTGGTAAGGAATTCATGGTCTGCTGTGGGCAGGGCACTTATCCATACATAAACACCTTCCTTTTTCACAAAATATGTAAATAGTGATTTATAAAAGGAAAGTCTCAGGGATTTTGAGAGTCTGCCACTAAAAGCAAATTACATTGTCACCATCATTTTATTCCAACTTTTTATTATGAAAATTTCCAGTCATACAGAAAAGTAGAGGACAGTGACCATCCTTATACCCTAGATTCAACACTGGTTAATGGTTTAATGGTTTTGCCGTATTTTCTTTTTCTCTCTAATTTTTCCTCCTGAATCGTTTAAAAATAACTGGCATCATCCTGACCTTCACTCTTAAATATGTCAGCTTGCATCTCCTAAGGGCGGAGACATTCCCCTTAGAAGGAACTCTATTGCCACAATCACACCTAAGGAAATTCTCTAAATTCCCAGCCTCACTGCATATCCATACCTACTTAAATTGCCCTAATTGTCACACATCATAAAAAAGTTTTAAAGTTATTTTTCTAAGCCAGGAGCCAATCAAGATTGCTCACTGCACTTGATTGTTATGTCTCTTTAATCTCTTTATTCTAGAACAGTTCTTCCCCCCCTCTCCCCCACCCCT